GTGACGAGTGATAAATATAATTGTAATAAAAAATTGCCGCCGACCAATTAGTTATGCTACTGAATCCCAGAAATATCTCCTTTGCAAGAGCCGTCGGAGAACAAAGGATATGGTTCCTTCGAAACAATTGTCCGTAACAATTCACACAGAATAAATCGGTTTTGTACTCCAATAGCACATTTAAAGAATTTATTTAGTTTTTATTTATTTGCGGGTCTAATTATAAGTTTGTATAAGTACGCTTACATAATCCCCTCCAATTGCAATATTGTTCAATAGTTTTGGGGCTCCAAGCTTTAGCTTCTTTAGCTAAACGGTAAATCCGCAACAGATAATACTTAAAACTAGTGGTACTACAACACCACATACTTACTCGCGTTATTGCAAACAGTTACGTAATACACCTCAGCCATAATTTCTAAACGTCCAATTCAACCAAGAAGAGAGCAAACGCACTGTTGCCAGTGCAGAGTTGTCAAAACTATGTGAATTCGCTTGGATAATAATACCAATACAGTAATTAGAATAATGTAATTGACATCAAAATAATTACGAAAATTCTGTCTGCTGATTCATGAGTTGCCTTTCGTCGTAGATAACAGTTCCGATAACGTTTCATTTCATCACCATCTTCACATTTCAGATTCGATAATCACTATTACATTTAAACAAAGAGAGCGTTCATGGTTTCTTGGAAGAGATAAGATGATATAAACAAAGTAAGTGCTACTAAAGTGCTTCTCAAATATTGATGCGACATTGTTGTGAAATTTCGATTACGCTTTGCGGATTGCTAAAAAAGAACAGAAATTACACAAAATCTACTCGTTTTTTTAAAAGGACTTATACATCACCTTTTTAAAGTACTTATTTTGTAAACATACTGTCTGAGGAAAAAAAACTATCTTGAATTTTGTAAATTTGAAATGTTTTTTGCGATTATCGTAAAAAAACTAGCAATACCCGAAAATGAAACCAGCGCCATATTTCTTATTGCATATGTGGAGAAAACTAAAAGAAAAAAATTGGAGCGATTTTTGAGAATTTTATTTTACAAAAATTAAAAATTGCCTATATTTCACGTAAAAGAACGCGAAAAATACTCAAATCTCCGAAACATTGTACATGACTTTATTTCAGAATATCTTCTAATGAACAGACTTTATTAGGGGAACAAATCTCTATCTTTAACATTTTTGTTGTAGGAAGGCGTCGAAAAATATTTTGATTTTTTTTAAATTTTCGAAAAAGCAGGGATCCAACATGAGCCCTCAGCCATTCCCTCAAACGTCCTTCAGACTATCCAACAAGAAAATTTAATCCAAATCGATGACACCATTTCCTTTTAATTTTGAAAATACCCTATGGGGTCCCCATAGTACCCCCAAAATTAAAATATCGGCTTGAAATCCCAGGGCCATGACATCAGTTGGAATGATTGGAATATATCAATTTTGGAGATTATTCGACGCGCTAGCCTTGTGCACAGACGGACGGACAGACGTTTTGCTGTCAATCGTTTTTCGGTATGAAGGACGCACAAAACATTCTACCTAACTTTGTGTTTGAATTTTTTTCTAAATTTAGCAACTGGATTTATCGACTTTTTCCTTATCAGGGCCCGGCAATTAGAGTTTTTGTGTCGAAAATTCGCAGAGTTCTGACGCACGATTACAATACTTTCTCTTCTTACGTTAGTAAAGTGCGAGAAAGTAAACATTTGTACTATACAATTATTATTCAATTAACGAGAAACTACAAGACACTACGTAGTACTTACTTTCCTTTTTACGTAAACTTTCAGAATACATTTCATTAAAAATATTTACATTAAATCATTTTATATATTTGGAGTTAATGGTGGAGTTTTAACAATTTTGGTGGTTACAAGAGAAATTATATTTTAAGATGTAGAAATCCTTTACAAAGATAGTACGCTCATCTCAGTATTTCCACTTTCCCGAGTAATATACGTAGTATAGGGAAAGTTATGTAATGCTGCGGAAAAACGATTTCGAGGTTTGGACGGAAATACGCGTTTTGAGGTCCCCTAACACCGAAAACGAGTTTGTTTGTTTTTTCAAAACTTTCGTCTGTCTATCCGTCCGTCTGATATGTGTGAACACTACTAGCGCCTAAACCATGCGTAGAAGTTTTTCCAAATAGAAGAATCCCCGGTCCATCACGCTCGAGTCAAAACTTTGAGATTAAAAAAAAAAACATTCTTCAAAATTTAGGAGTACTTTACATGAAGCCCTCCGGTCATTTTCAAATTTTTCCCAAAAACTGCACCAAATGTTTTCATTAAATTTCTTGTAAGAGTAGTGTAACGCACGTGGCATAGGTCCGATTTTCATGGTTAACTCTGAATTTTCGAAAGTTTCAATAGTATGAACTTTTTCGGCGTCTTCCTACATCTACTAAATTAAAGATAGAGATTTTTCCTTCAATTAAATGCGGTTTCGTACATAAAAAAGGCGGTAATAAATTAACTTAATATTACAAATCGTAGAATATTAGTAATTTAATTATTTCATTAGTATTAGAGATATTTATCATATGTGTATGATGTACTATGACTTACTATGACTGACCGATCAAAAGTTGTAATTGAATAAGGTGGAAATAAGCCTTTTTGCAAATAATTATTATTCGCCAAGCAATTGCACATAGTTTTGACAACGCTGCGCTGGCAACAGTGCGTTACTCTCTTCTGTATAATTTGCTTCGAATACTGTATCAGTCAAATTTATTCCAGTTTGTTTCATTTGTCAAAGTAAGAAATTATTGCTGCTCTTGACTATCGAAGTGAATGCAGATATATAACAGGCGCATTGTTTTTGAATTGGCTGAGGTGTCAGTATGTGCTGTTGTAACATCTCTAGATTTTTTTCAAAACGTCTGTCCTTTGGACATTGTGAACGGCACTAGCGCCTAAACTGTGCGTAGGATGTTTTCTAATCTGAATAATCCGTGATTGATTTGGCCTCACTCAAAGTCCTGAGGTTTTGAATGACATTCATTACTTTTTTGTGGTAATTCACATAAATCTCATGGAACATTTTCAAAAATTTTTAAAAAATAGATCCAATTTTTTTTCATTAAATTTCTTGAAGGAATATAATGAAATACACTTATAGAGATAGCGTAGATGCAGTTTTTACTGTTAACACTGAATTTTTGAAAATTACAAAATAGTAAAATATTTTACACCGACTTTCTACTACTACAAAATTGATATTAACGATTTTTTCAAATTAAATTTGTTCTTCTTAATGAAAATTGCTCTATTTTTCGTGCAATTTTGTGTGACATATGAGCAAGATTAAAATATATCAAAACAAATATTCCTCAAAAACTTCTCCAAATATATTCTTTAAAAGTTGTCGAAGGGATAGTGCACAATGTACTGTATAAAATCATCTAAACGCCGCTTTGCTTAAAACTTTTGTTTTTTATAAAATTTATTAAAAGAAGTGCTTCAAATGATGTTTCACAAAGATTCTCGAAAACTTGAAATCTTTTGTGAAAATCAGCTCAAATTTCCGCATTTTCAGATAAGTTCAAACCCATTTTCTCAAAAACTACTCCAAATGTTTTCTGGAAACTGTTTTTGCGTAAAAGTGCATAAATACACTGTTTAAGAGGACATTATTTTTTTTAAATACACATATTTTCTTTGAAATATCTCTCATGCCTTTAACACACACATTCCCAACGATTTGTATACATTACTGAGTTTGAAGTGCCTCAAATGACTTCCCGTAAATTTATCGAAAACGCAAAAGTTGTTTATGAAAAGGAGCTTCAAATTTAACATTACACTAAAACAGAAATGTCATGTTCGTAAAGTTCTTAAATCTCCAACTTTTTCAACGAAAATTTCCATGTAGGTCAGGATTTTACTCTTTTTCAATATTCATAACGTAATTTGTTGTTCTACCGTTAAGAAACAGTTAAATTGAGAAAATTTTGAAAAATGTACTTAGGCGATAGATGGCAGCTGGGAAGAGAATGGGACAAGACCTAAACCTAACCGAAACCAAGAAATTTGAAAATTAACTAGTACGAGAATGTCTATGCCTTTCCGTATCACCAGTAGTTTGATTTTTTACTTCATTTTACATTTACATCGTGTTTTAATGAGATAACCTAACCAGGATAACTTCAATTAAGGTTTGTGGATTTCTTGAAATAAAATAGGATTACAATCCTATTACAAGGATCAATACATTGAAAATAGAAATTGTAGAATAGAGTAAAAATCAAAGTTCGGATTTTCAGTAGTAAATTATAATTAAAATCAAATTATTTACTTTCACTTCCTTTTTTAGCATTCCTGTTCTCCGAGGATTTTTTTCGGGGCTCGTAATTGTTAGAGGAAATAATTTACTATACTGTGGGACAAGTGTTATGCACTTTTTCGTAATCATTGCCCGCTAATAAGAGTTTTCGTGTCGAAAATTCGTTTCGAAAAAAAGTTTTATTCGCAGAGTTACAATATATACTGCAATACAATACACTGCTTAAGAAGTAGCGAGAAAGTAAAATAGTGTTTGACGTAAAAGTAATTTTAACTTGTATGATTGCGCCACGCGGCATATCGGCTACTTGTCGCAACCTTTCCTACACAGCAGAGTAATACGTCGCTTTTGCCACTGGCATCACAAATAACTATTCTGATTACGTATTAGCGGCTACTATTCACCTTTCGCTTTTCAATTTTGGTGAATAGCTTTGCCAACTTTCGAGACGTAAATTCATGATCAGGGGCATGCTATGTTTTTTATTTAGTTTGAGAATCGTAAGTTTGAAAGGCCATATGAGAGACTTTAATACATATATTTCGAAAAGAAATATCATTTGCATACCATCATTTCGTAACCTGCTGTGACTAATAGTAACAAAAAACCTTAAAACGTTGCTTTGTGTTGCACATCGTGTAGCCACGAAGTGAACATGTCTCTTTGAGAGCTTGGTCGTCTGCCATCGTCGCTCACCTGCCAGCAGGATGCGTCCAATGAGCTCGTTGCGTCCGATGTTATCGAAGTCCATGACCATGACATCGAGGGAGCACTCCCGGATCTTCTCCCACGGCACATTGAAGCTGAAGGACTCGTTGAACACGGGATTCAGCGTGCACTTGAAGATGGGCGTCTTGCGTTTCTCGATGCGCTTGTCCCCGAACTGCAGCCACACTTTCACGTACGGATCTGGAAGCGAGCGCAGGTGGTGGAACATAGGGGTTGGCAAGCCCGCGCTGCGCGAAATAACGGTATCGTCGCCCTGGCGAGATTAGACCAGATAATGCAATTTCTTCGAAATTTGATTTATTATAGTTAGAGAGGGTAACCGTGGTTGTCCTGGATATTAAGTGCGAAATTTACTAAAACTGACAGTTGTAGTGCTCTAGAGGGCAAAAATGAAACCTCTTAAGTTGATGTACCTCCATTGTAAGAGGGAAAAAACCTGTAATTGTATTGAATGTTCACTTTATGAAATACCATTTGATGTATGTACTACAAACTAAAGAGATATAAAAACGCTTATGAAATGACATTCCTTGTAAAGTAACAAACAAAAACAATTATTTGTGCTTTCGGTAAAGTTTAATACTTTCGACTTATGTGATCTTCTCATTAGGGCGACGATACATCAAATTTTTCAAAGTTCGTACTGCCATTTGGACAATACATGCATGTTATCATCCACAACATAACTTGCTATTGAGAAAGAAAAATCTGAGAAATTTGTGGAGTGCAATACTTTAATTAATATTGAACGATTTGTTGTAAAAATAGTGAAATAGCCTTCAGATCATCAATCAGATCGGCGAATGAAAAAGTTCTATTCGTTATTTTTTTACTACAATCAAGAAACGTATGCTTAGTAATTTCTAATCATATTTTCTAAACCTATTTTATACTTTTTTAAATGCTTGGTTAGAAAATTAAATAGTTTTTAGAAAATCAATTTAACTTACTTTTGTATAAATTTTTCATTGAATTATTTTTTATGAATATATTTTTAAGAAAATTATTAGCTAAGATAAAATGATTTACATACTACTCTTTGATTACATGCTCATACAAGCAAGCTCATTTAATTTTCATTGAGATATCATTTTTGACTCAGATTATTTTGAGTACTTAAAACTTTAGCCCGTGATTTCACTTGTACTTTTGAAATGACTTTGGGGATCACCAGAGGTGGGCAAGGCACGAGCGCGTTGCGAAGTGGCGAGCTCCGCGCGTGGAGGCGGCATTGTTTTTTTACCTGCGTCATCCTCCCGTGATATCCCTTCTTTCCTGACCCTTTCGGGCAGCATAGGGGCACGGGCGCGTTACACCCGATCGGCGTCTCTTCTAGCGGCTGCTCTCCCGCGCGCCGGGGTGGCGACTCCGCGTGTCGGTTCGCGAGGTCCTTTGCGACTCAGCGGAGCTACCTAGGCGCAGCCGTGCTCGGGGGGAGGGGGGGCACGGGGCTCGCGGATTGGGGGACCGGGGGACAGCCGGTCCCAGGCGACCTCAGCAGTGGTTCCTCCTTCCTCAGAAGACTCTCAATACTTGTTTAGGGAAACGATGCAAATATCTTAAGACAAAGCGATCAAGTACAGTATGAAGAATGTAGTTACACATTATCAAGGGTTTAAAGCTTTATAATCATTTGTGTAAGTATAAAATACGCCAAGGAAAGAGTTTATGAGAAACCACAAGTCACAAGTGAAGGGTAAGTAGGGGACGAAGGGAAATGAAGGGGGACATGTTCGATCCGGATCTACAAAAACAATTTTATTGACTTAGAACACCATGAGGAAGGTTGCATAATCGTGACTGAAACGTTGACACCTATGTCTAGGACGCGGTATATCAGCTAAGTAGTTACTGACTCCAGCAGCAGTAGCCTACGATTTCACATCTGTAGTTGAATTAGACTAGACAAAAAGTAGTCTTTTTCCATTACCTAAGAATTTATTCTTGTATACATACAAATAAGTATACACAATCCGGACACGCGAGAAAACTCTGCACTTTGTAAATAATAATTTTATAAAAACTGAAAATTGATCTAAAGTAGCATCGAATTGCGATCGCCCATCCCCAGAAATGTGGTTTATAGCAGTACAGGGCAAATTTCTCAAAGTACTTGGATGGTTAAATGTAAATGAATCCCCGCTAGGCCTGTAGGGAGAGGCATGACGCAAGACGCGTGACTTAAAGAGTCGGCCGGCCCGTAGCAGTTAAAGGGTTAAGAAGATTACGGGCGTCTAAATGGCGGGAGGACTTCTCCATTGCTGCGATGCGAGCGCACTGGCTCCCAACTGCAGCGTTTGTTGCGACGGACATCAACGCCGCTCCGCACAAACAATGTAGCAGCGCTTTGCGTCACACCCCGCCAACCATTCACGTCGAGCCCTATTGTCAGCTACCGCAGTCCTATTGATTGTCATTGAATGACGGGCAATCTCTCGTACCTTGGTAAATATTAACGGCTTCACATAAATCGATGAGCATCATTTTACTGCATTTATGGAGTTGCGTATAAACACGGAGAGGAAAACAAATTCGACAATTACAATAAGCAAATTTTGGGTATTACATTAAAGCGTGAATGGATACAAGTGGTTTTTAATAGGCTGTAATATTAACATTCGATATTTTTGGAATGTAACATATAACGTAATAAAATATAATGTTTTTGTAATATAATATTTGATATTCTGTAGTGGAAATAAATCACATACAATATTGTATTGAATAGGTTTGAGAAAGAAAGCGTGAGTTTCAACGCAACTGAAAAATGTGATTTGACATCACTCACATATATTTATTTCATTTCATTTCCAGTTTGCCAGCCAGTAACACAATATTATTTTAAGCATAGATATTGTCAGTTGTGTTCTCACATTGCGTACATTTCCAAGATAAAATGTATCATCCCTGAACCCATACCTTTCTCCACCCGATAACTATTGTGCAAGTACAAACACCTGGTGTTGGTGACGCAAAGGGTCTAAGAGCCAGTGCTGCCAGTGCGATCTAGAAGCAGCCTGAATTCCTTACCTCTCGTTGCGCATAAACGGAATAAGTTCAGACTACGCTGGCGGGGTGGGTCGGGGAGGGCGGTTGGTTGCATCTGGATTTTAACAGAATACACGTTCAACGCAGAATAACACAAGAATAAGAAGCTTAGAAGACATCCTAAGATTTAAAGAGAAATACGATTAGTATATCAGTATTAATTTAAGAGGGAATGTGATTAAGCAAGAATAATGAATTAGAAACTAAGACTTGTTCAATTCACATAATGCTAGTGAAAGGAGAGAGAACGAATAACATACTAGTATATTCCTCGTTGAGTCTAAGTGGTGTAATAAAATGCAAAGAAGTGTATGGACAAAACAAATCTATGAATGCATAGCTTACAGAAATTATTTTGTGTTTACGCTTAAACGTGTTACAATTCTAGAAATATATTTGTGTATTGCAACATGCGGTCCCCAGTCCGATGCCTGGGCCTCTGCTGAGGGTGGGAGTCGAATTTGATGGAGGCGGGGGCGGGGGCGGAGGGAAAGGCAGGCGAACGGCGGCGGGAGAAGACTTTGAGACGCGAGCAGGGCCTTTCAACTCTCCATCAAAACCCGGATCGAAGCTCGAGGGTGCTACCCTAGGAGAGTACGAGAGTCTCTACGTACAGTTGCAAGTTAGACTCGCCAACTTTCACACATAAAAATTGGATAATTTGTGTGAAATAGAAAAAGCGTCTTTTAAATGTTAAATTATTCATAATACACACACTCATACAAAAAAAAATGAAGAAAGCGCGGGCATTAGCGATATCTTTTGAACCTGGTTGCATCCCGCGAACTCACGCAGCAGCCACGCACGTTTTAGGTATCATTGGCAGGAGTTCGTGTTTTAGTTCCTGCAAAAAGGTGCTGCAGGAGAGCGCGTCACCGTAATGGTTTCTGTCACGTTATATGGGAGTTGAAAGGCCCTGGACGTGAGAAAAGAAGGGCGAAACAGAAGGGAGAGGTGGTGAACGTGGTGGCAGGACGAAGAAGAGAAACGGCCACCAAAGCGGCTGCGCCTAGGTTTATGGGCGTCCATTTCTTACTCCTCGTTGCCGCGTAAGAATTGGAGCTGCGCGACGACAAATAATGAGCGTCACCAGCCACTGGCCGTCGCAAGCTACGCGCCGTTACGTGGGGGCCAAGGCCCCGAGCAGAGGTCGGTAAAAATCGTCTTCCCTATTCTTCTCTTTGTATCTCTCGCCACGAACTGCCCTGACTGCGAGAAGCATCGAGTTCGCTAAGACCTAGGAGGCACTCGACTGTAGTGCTGTAGTGCCCCAAGGCACACTTCAACGAGTACGTGCAGTGGTTGCCCGTCGTGACCTCCTTCAGTGCAAATAGCCGTCATTAGACCCTGCATAAGTGTAAAAAGTAAATGCAGAGAGCAGCGAGCCTCCATTTAAGTGAATATTGTTATGAGTGCTCAGACAGTGCATGTAACTTGAACTTCACAAACTCGGTGCTTGATTCTCCTTTTATGTTGTTTGTCAAAGAGCTATGAATTGTCAAACTCAATGGTCTGGTGGATGCAAAATTTAATGGTATTTAAGAAAAGGGATTTAGTTGAACAATTTCACAACTTCTCAAGCAACGGCTTGCATTACAAGAAATTGTAAATTTTGAGATCTTTCTCTGCACTTAACAAACGAAAGTCCTGAATTGTTTATAGAAGAAGAGAAAAGTCGAAATGTGACTGGTCAAAGACTTGATGGGCATATCATGTCAATGGATAATTTTTGTGATCTTTTATGTGTGATCGGATGTTTGTTTGTTGTTTTTCTGTTCTCTGCCATATTTTAAAATGCATTTTCAGTATGTATGAGCATAACGCATCTGTCCAATTATACAAGTTTTCTGTGGGTACGATTTTCTATAGTTTTTTCAGTAGTCTTCATAGAGCCACGATCCTACGAAACAAACTCAGCCGACAGTGGATCGTTTACAGTATTTTGTATCGATTTATTAGATATTCTAATGATAAGCAATCAATTGTTTTCCACTTTTGCCATGTATTAAAATGGGTTAAAGCAAAACGTAATAATTTTACACAAAATACAAATATTTTATGTAGTAAATTATTAATATTTTATGGCAAAAAAATGTCTCATTCAAAAGTTTCACTTCAGGTGTAAGAAACTGGAAAGTGAATTCAAAGATTACTTTAGGAAGCATATTAATAGCAACAAATATTAAATAATAGATTTTTATACAAATGTTTTTATTCATTCAGTTTTATATTATTTGTTTAGAGTAGTCTCAATTGTTTGGAAGATCCAACCACTAAAAACAAAACAAAAATAAATTACTCGCCCATTTGCTGTCCAGGCTTGCAGGCATGCCCTGAGCCTAACAAACTTGAGACTGCACAGCCCTGACAAGTGTTACATCTCAGAGGGGTTCTGATTCTACGAACATTCCAGCATTCTCATAAGCAAAGCTCCAAATGAAGCCGGTGGCGCCAGCACCTGAACAGCACTTGCTCCTAAAATGCGTCAGGCGCATTCACGGCCGCATGCACTCGCTCAGGGCGTTAAAAACTTCCAAAGAGATGGTGGATTGCGCTACTTACGGTGTTGTGACATCTTACTGTGTAGTTTTACACTCCACTTCTTTCGCTTGATGTGAAGTTGCCACGAACTTCGAGATGATCTGGCCTTGGGAAGCAGTGTAAACCTAGTGTGTGGACATGTGTGAGTTTTGAAAAGGGCTCTTTGATGGATTTCGAACCGCTAGACGACGCATTTATTTCTTGTTGAACTTCCGTATAGAAGATTAAAGTATTCCTTTCGTATTCATCGACGTACTGATTTCGAGAATATTCAGCGATGGAGGAAGTCGCCGTCGTCCTTACAACAACCAACACTTTGGCGTATGACAAGCCCTTCTGCTCTTAGCTCATCGTTCTTTTTGCTTGTTGATTATACTTTTTAGATCACTGAATCATTGGGCTCATTTCAAAAACACCTCCTTTTATAAGAAAATATTAGATTTGTTTTTTAAATAATGATAGTATATTTTACCCAACGACTGTAGCAGCCAAGTTAAGAGGTTTGCTGGGTGACTTGCTTTCGAATAATCTAAATTTAAATCAAGTGCCAACAGACGTTTGGCAGCTTCAAACAAAACTGAATTTACTTCGTACTCCGCTCGGCCTGCGATCCTTGACTTGGAATCACGGGGCTGCGAAGGCTGCAGGGGCGAAGAGCGAGCCGGTAGTCGCCCCCGCGTTTCCCATTGTCTCAAAAAAAAACAACCAGCTAATTGCTCTCAGCCGGTGTATTTGTACACCATATTCGTACTTAGCGCTTTAAGAAACATAAATAAAACCATTTTAAATTAAAAACAATAGAACTTTATATCTCGTCAGAACAGCCACGATTTAAAAAAAAATGAAAACTGAAGATGTGGCGAATTGGGCAATAAGGGCACTACAAATTGACCCAGCCCAATGCTCTTAGGCGTGACTCCGCGACCGGATCGGGGGTGTTGACGAAATGGCGCCCGGGAGAGGGGCGCTGTCGCAGAGGGGTGGCCGCCCCTCGAGGCAGAGCACCGAGCTGCTGCCCACCCGCCGCCGGCCTCTGTCGGCGCAAGCAACTGCGATCGGTCGGGGGGCCCGGCTCGATGCCCTGACGCGGCCCCGGGGCGAGCGTCTACCTACCGGACTTGCCGTTGATGTCCTTGGCCTTGAGGTTGCGCGCCTTGAGGAGCGTGAGCGTGAGCACGCTGTTGCTGGGGTGGTAGCAGAGCGAGGTGAGCAGCTCTCCGCACTTGTCCTTGGCTGGCGGCTTGAGCGCCTTCCAAAAGGACGGCTTCTCTGAGAGGTCCACCTGCGCACGGCCCGCGCCAACACTCAGCGGGAGCGACCCGCCGGTTGCCGCCCGGCACTGCCCTGCGGCCTGGGCCTGGGCCCGGGCCTGCCCTCGCCTGGCCTGCGCGACCCGCCCGCCACCGCCCGCGGCACCGGCTCCTGCGGCCCCCCGCCCCCTCCCCCCCGCCACGCTGGGCGCCACTGCTCGCGGACGCCGTCTGGCCACTGGCCGCTTGCTACGTGCCAGAGCTCACGTTTCGATCCAAGAGGTTGTGCTTTCATTGCCCTGACACGTCAACTTCGTCCTCATCAGCGGCATGATTCTGTATTCATTGAGGTAGTAATTGAGTTTTATCCTGTTATGAGTAATGCATGTAACATTGGAAGTTGATACGCTTTTGTTATTGACGAGAAAGTGGCGGTTGGTGATTGTAATCAATAATTAATTGAAATTCAAAATACCTTCAAAATAATTGAAAATACTATACATTCTTTGTTAAATTTCAGTTGAATGACAGCCTAATTCTGTTTGATATTTGAATGCAAATCAAGCGGCAGATATCACTTTTTGAAAATTGTTTAAAATTAAAAAATAAAACATGATGTATTTGAATATGCGCATATAAAAACTGTGTCGGTTATGATACGCCTGAAAATAATTTTATGTTGTAATTTAATGAACGCAGATTACGTGGGACAAAAACTCTGTTGGATATATCTTGAACCTTTTTGACAATTTTTTGTGTAAATAGAATGCTATTTAATGTTTATGTGTGTTTGTGTCTTCATATCGTTTTGTGTGATTCAACGAAATAAATATATGCATCTTTTGTAAAAGGATGAAGTTGGTTTTCAGCTCCTGATGTTGATCATTCACTTCTGCTGAAGAGAGTTTTAAAAAAAGGGAGTAAAATATGTCAAACAAATAACATCACAATATTTCATAAAATCTAGCTACAATGCTTATTGATATTCTAAGATTATAGTTATGAAGATGCAAAGAAACAAATGCACTCTACTAACGTGCAATGTATTGTGTATAAATTGAAAACTTATCTCTATAATAATTAAATACTACTTACACCTTTGGTTTTCAATATCTTCATTGTTCAAAATTTAAGCATTAGTTCAAAAATAACAAGCATTGCATCAAATTGTAACTCAGGTAAGGCCACAACCCATGACGTCGTAAAATCCACTGGCCAACGCAAATTTTAAAACAAATCTCGTTATCGTTGAATCTGATATTCCCTTTCTCCCGTGAGAAGACAATTCTGTTACAAACGTTTAGTCCGAAGGTAAAGTAATGTAAACTAGACTCTTAAAAGTAAAACAATATATCTGCACTGGCAACTTGCATTCTTTTTATCATTAAAAGAAAACAGGACAGTATGTGACGCAGTTAGTCGAGAAGTATTATTTGCAATGAATATCGTTCGTTATTTATGTATAACACGTGAAAGTGAAATTCTAAAATGCGAAAATTGAATGAAAAAACCTAGTTCTTTATGCCCTGTGCGAAGCGCCGCGTGTGGAGGTGGGCGTGGGCGTGGGCGTGGGCTCACCTGGCAGAGCGGCAGGAACACCTCTCCGATGGAGTCGTCGCGGGAGAAACGGTCGTAGTCGAAGACGTGCAGGTGGAGGACGCGGCTTTGCAGCTTCTGGATGGGGAAGCCTGCGCACCCCGGAGCACGGCTTTGGCACTCGCAAACGCAACTCAACCCGCACTCACTCAAAAAGACATACTACTTTTAAAGAGCCAGTGTTGATTTAACAATTATGATAAATTTAGCGCAAAGGCTTATAAAGTACGCCAGCAAGATTGTTTTCCAATGTAATGAGGAAAAGATATGAAAATACCAAAAGAAATGAATACAAGAACAACCATGACTTTTAAAATCTAATAACAGGATAGGAATATCATCTAATTTTCCTATTTTTCATCTGGACATTTTGAAAAATATACACACACACAGAGGTGTAGTGTGCGTGTGTGTGTGTGCCCGCCCATTGCCGCCCTCCGAGTCTCGAAGGGGCGTGGGCGTGGGGCGGCGCTCACCCTCGAAGTAGAAGGTCTCGTTCCAGCGCGGGTTGAGCGTGCGCCGCTTGATCTTCGTCTCGAGGCGGTGCTTCTTGTCGGGCAGCAGCGTCACGCGCACGTAGGGGTCGGACGTGCCCGAGATGTCCTTGGCCGGCAGCTCCTTCGCCTGCGGAACAGCGCTGCTTAGCCTCGCCGCAAGTCTGAAGCATGCGACTGGACGGGCAGGTTCAGAAATCAGGAAAGCGGTGGGAAACATTCAAGTAGAGTATGGAACAAGCAGAATTTGACTGACAGGCTACTGCACTAGTTTCCACGCAAGGACCATTTGAATGACAAAGAACCGAATGAAACAAGAAACGATTCGGGACGCGAAGAAATGAAGCACTCAGATGCACAAGTTGCTTAGTCAAGTTTTCTCAATTTTTCAGGAGAGCTAAAAGTTTTCAAAACGATTATGAATTATCCAAATATCAATACAAGTGGAAGAAATTTATTTTATGGGTCAGTGTGGAGGCACACTATATTCTGTTGAACAGATCCTCACTATTTTATATGTTTAGCATGAGGGAGAGCAGACTTTTTTATTACAACTTAACAAATTTTGACTTGAAAAGTTGATACGTCGTTTGACTTAAAAACTTCTCATTCTTAATGTTTGGGTCTTTATAATATAACATAATATTACAACAAGATACCTGTTTATTATTTGTTTTATTTTCATCATTCCATCTCTATTACGTCATCTTTCACTTCATTTCCATATATCATTATGTCATAAAATGTGTTACCAAGTGGAAGAGGTACAGTGAGCGAACGTCGTAATATTTTGATTTCTTAATCTTTCTAAAATGCATTCAGTGTATTGTTAACACCATCATATGCATTGTGTAAGTCTTGCAACCTCACTCGTCAGTTTGTAAAGGGCACCAGCCAGCCAAAACAACAAGCGAACTTCTCCTCCGAAGAGCTGAGTTCGTAAACACCAATTAGCCTCCTCGCCCACCCGGATAGTACATAGGTTTTACACTTATATAATAGTGATAAGCATATGGTGGTTGCAGTTATAGCATTAGGAAGCCGAAAAATCGAGAAAATGTGAAAAAAATGTCCTTTAGGCGACCAAAGAAGGTATTTGGCTAGAGAATCAGTCACAATTGAAATCCTGGTTCAGACTAAAGAGATTAGAAAACTAAATACTGCGAGAAAGTCTGTATCATTCTGTCGCACCACTAGTTTATTTATTATTTATTTATTTAAATATTTTCTTAAAATAAATAACCAGTACAATACAATAAACCTATCATTCACTAATTTCATTCAGCAAATTTTCTGTAAAAATCTTTTTCTGAGGCACAAATATCTTCAATTTTGTAGTTTTAAAACTATTTTTGCAATTTTCGAAAAATCGGTAATGTCAACAAAAATACCTGAGTTATGCAATTCAGATACTAAACGCATCTGAATCACTTGGATAAGAAGTGAGGACCGAAGGTAACTTCATCCACAATGCCAACCCACACAATTACAGAGAATCGCTCTTGGTGACCTACGCGAAGTGCAACATGTGAATTTTTTCGGCCGACAAATGCAAATTATGCACATTAATTGTTCCACTTCTTTTAAAATACGCTTCATCTGTCCAAATAACGGTTTCAGAAATCTTGATCAAAAAATCCAGCTTGTTCCATATGGAAATTTTGAGCGAAAGAAATACCCATCAGGAACCTTTTTCCTCACATATGCGCAAAGACTGCCTCGATAATCCAGAACGACATACGTATCTACTGCGCACATGCTGCACCAGCTGGAAAGAAAAGGTCGAAATCTCTGTGCATGAATTGTATGCCACGTGACTGTGACGCGTTGTGTGTCTTGCGCTCGCTTTCGGGCCTTAGCGGAGTTCTCCATTGATAACGGAGTTCTCCAGAGAAGTGGCGACCGCAGCCGTGAAGCGCAGAAGTGCAGCCGCTCGTTCACTTGCCACAGACTGTTTTACACGTGAACAAGCGCAGTACAAAGTTTAACGTTAATTATTTACAAAACTAAACCACGAAGAGGCAATTATGCCACAATTATGGCAAATTCAGTCGGTAGATTACATATGGAATATGTCTCTAGCATATTACCAACGAGGACTGAATCACCCAGAGTAGCGTGTCCAGTGGCGAAAGCCTTTATCAGTAGACATTTCGTGGTTTGTGTTAAAAACGCAAGGTCCGACTAATTGTTAGTGACTGGTGAATTTACCGCCTCTCTAAACAATATTTTTTTGTATTGTCATGTGTAGCAGGTGGTGAATAAATTCCGTTTTTTTCACAATCTTTTCATAATTATAGTAGCTATTGACAGTGACCAGTGATACTTTGTTATTTTTTACTGCGTCTTTTCTTATTAACTTCATTGACTGAGCAATGTTGCATTAAAGAGTCCAAGTGGTGGGTGCGAGGTGATGGCAGCTGCTGAAGGAGCCCAACTGCCACAAGTCAACGACGTCTGCGAGGCAACCCAGGAAGGATCAAGTATTGCGGGGAAGGAGCAGGAGATTTGCATCACAACGGGCGCCGCACCCCCCGTCTTCGCCCTGAAAACTTTGCAAACAGTCTGCTCAACTGCGCCATTTCGATCAGCCAGCTCAGTATTTTCTGACTGATAATAGATTCTCCCTTATTTCAACCTTTACTAACAAATCCGATGTCATCCACACCTTCGTCCTATTCTTTGAACATCATTCATCCTACTATTTCTCTTTTGTAATTAATTTCAACCATGCTGGAAATTGTGAGGTATAATTTGTATAATTGCTGTAGGGAGTGAATGTGCCTTCGGATGTGGAATTTGAAATGGATATTTTGATTTTTGGGGATACTTTACAAGAAGCCTAGAAAACAATTTAAACATTTTCTCAAAAATGGTTGCCAATTTTTAGTTAACTTTCCCGTCGATGCTTAAAATAACACATGTTTCATTTTCATTTAAATTTATTGAATTTTCGTAAATTGCAAAAGTACAGAATATTTTCGGTGTCTTCCTACAACTACAATATTAATTATCGATTTTTTACTAAATAAAATCTTTGTTGGATCTCTAAATAAAGCCGTCTGCAATTTTTGAGATATCTCAGACGTTTTCGCGTAATTTAGCTTGAAATATAGTCAATTGTTTAAAAATTATTTATTTACATGGCTCCAAATTCTTCTTTAAATCTTTATTTTGGAGAAGAGCAAACAGATGTTATAAAAATGGCATGTCAGTTTTTCAGAGAACGAAAAAAATGTTAACATCCCACTGCTACAATATGGTATTGATGTTTTAAGTAATGAAATGTGCTCTTCAAATTTGGAATTTGAAGTAAAGCTGTGCATTTATTCCAAAAATATGAATATTGTCGCTTAGTGTTTCGAAATTTTGGAAATTGCAAATTCCAATTTCCCGCACATTGCAAGCATCTTTCATGAGTAACAGGATCGAAATACGACGAAAGGAAGTTGGTGCACCCTCGAACGTTAAAGCACTATCGATCTTCTGCGCGTACGCATTCACGTTTCGTATCAGTTTACTGCATCTGCGCATGCGCAGAGGATCGATAGTGCTCCGCTATGGCGTGCACCAACTCCATAATGGTAAGGCCGCGTCATTTGAACGCCGCAGTTTAAAATTCTTAGAATAACTTTTCATTGTTGGACGGCGTTTCTGGGTGTATGAAACGCACTTTTGGATTGTCTAATGTATGTTGCTATACTCGCTTAAAATGGAATTAATTTTTTACGCCTGATTCTACGATTGCTAACGAGATGTGTGAATATGGACAGAAATTGCGGTATTAAACGGTTCCTCGTGCGAGAAACCTTGTGGTTGTTGTGGTACCCCTATATAGTTGTGGTGAGGGTGAGGAAGGCGGGGGGGGGGGCGCCGCAGGCTCCACA